TATTTATCATTGGGTTGATGATGCATGGATTTATTTTACAACAGTTTGTGTCATCTCTAGTTTCCCTTATCTGCTTATAGCGGAACTAGCTTCTCTTTTAGCTTATTAGCTTTTTGGCTAACTTTGGAAAATGTTCGTGAACTGATTAGCTTCTGCTAAATTAGTTTCTGCAAATTTTAAGTTAATTTTGGCAGATGTTTGTAAATGCAAATTAGATGATGACATCATTTAGCAGCTTTTAGGACAGCCAATAGTGACTTTTCTAACTGAGGAGTTGGCAACCGGCAAATCTGAGGAACACAAATGTCCTTTGGTTTTGCAGCTCTGTGTTTCCCTTTGTGTGCCCACCCCACACTGGCTCTTTCTTGTCTCTCAAAGGTCAGGCTGGTATTTTTAGAGCAGATTTAATATTCGGAGCGAAGAGGACTCTTCAGCAGATCGGCCCAACAGATGAGAAGCATTTAGTCTGATTGAGCTGAGACTCGACTCGACTTCTTGGCCGGAATAAAACCTCCAGCTTCTCTCTGACAGCCGCTGAATGTAAATTGAAGTCGTCTCTGCTGTACGGCCAGCTATTGACTGGACCCAAAACCCGGGTCTCTTCCATCTTATTTAGTGCTCGTGTGAGCCAACCAATTTGCTGGCCATTAGCGAGCTGTAATGACTTCTTGACTGGCGATGCTTTAAATCCTGTGGAGATCTGTTGTTCCGCTGAGTGTGGGGTAAAATAGATGATCCATGTGGGAACTAAGCCAGAGATGAACTTATAACAATTTAAAATTTTGTTTGCGTTCAGTGATAAAGTATCAGTCATATATGTCTGTCTGTCTGTCTGTCTGTCTGTCTGTCTGTCTGTCTGTCTGTCCGTCCGTCCGTCTGTCCGTCCGTCCGTCCGTCCGTCCGTCCGTCCGTCCGTCCGTCCGTCCGTCCGTCCGTCCGTCCGTCCGTCCGTCCGTCCGTCCGTCCGTCCGTCCAGGCAGTTAAGAACAATTAAAACATTTTTTTTTACACAACTCCTGGGGCCTCATGCATAAAGGATTGCGCAGCTTTCACACTAAAAGTTGACGTACGGACACATTTAGAAAAGTGCGCCTCAACGAAATATTCAGATGTATAAAACTGTGCGCATGCATGTTCCTGCGCACCTTTCCTTTATACATCCCAATGAACGTGGAACTGAGCGCACGTGAGACACCTCCCCTGACACGCCTCCATTTAAASATGTAAAATAGATGTAAATGTGTCCAGGTGTGAGATTCTCCTCAGATTGTCCTCTCTGTGGGATCAGAAATGATTTTAGATTCAGGAAAAATATAAATTAAATGGAGAATGAGTGAGAAAATTGTCAGTGGGGTGTAAAAATGTGTTTGCCACTCGCAAAGGTGTGTGTGTGTGTGTGTGTGTTGGTGTGTACGCGAGGCTGACAGACATTTCCACCTTTACACGTCTTTAATAAATGACTGTAAACACAGAGAAACTTATGACTTTTGTAGAACTTGGAAAAATATTTATTAAATAGTTGATGTGAAGAAACGAGTGACTCGCTGCGCTGCGAGTTTCTGCCACAGTGTGGGACTGGGAACAGCTGACATTGATCCATACGCACAACTTTACGCAGCAATCTATTGCGTCTTGTGGAGCAGAGGAATCACCACAGCTGAGCTGTTCTGAATTAATCTGCTGACTTGACAATTTTTTTTCTCGGTGAAATTTAAAAATGTTTCTTAGAAAATTCACACATTTTATTCTCCTCAGCTGTGTGTGCGCTCCGCAGGCCATGCGCTCTGCGTGTGTTTCCAACTATGTGACAACAATATAAAAAGTTTACAGTTTACAGACTGGACTGAGGTTCTTTTGATCATTTTTAGGCTGATCTATTTTCTTGTCTGAGTTTAAATGATTTTCAGTCCCGGGGTTCAGTTTCATGATCGTTCCAGTTTAAACAATAAAAACTCAAACTAAAATAAAAATCTAACAGTGTTCACGCTCCTTACATTCAGAAAACACAACAAAGTCATATTTCTGTGGATTCAGGTCAGATTCATGACTTTGTGAGTTAAAACTGTCGACTGAAAAACTTTGCGTGGCTGCCGCACATTCTCACGGCAGGTGAAAAGTGTAACTATACGCACACTTTCACGCAACGTTGGTTTTAATACATCCCAACGTGGGCGTAGAACCTGGTGTACGTAACTTTATGTGTACTCACCGTTTATACATGAGGCCCCTGGTCTGTTTTAAGCTCAGTTTTCCACAYATTATAACAAACATTTTGTAGTACTGACTCCGCTCCACCAGGTGGCGACCCCATCCACATTAAAAATAGATCAAAATACAGAGGAAGAACTTTTCACTCAGTTGATAACTTCCTACAAAATATATTTTATAGTTTTTTTTTCCAGCTCTTAATATTTCCTGAAGTTTAGCAGCAGCTGGATCAGGATGTGGTGGTACCAAGCTGCAAAAATAACTAAAAACGTCCCTGTTGTTGTTTTTGGTTCTGAGACTCAAAGGGATCATAGGCTGCTCTGTTGTTGTTCTGAAACTGGCAGCTAGCTGTAGCACCTCCGGTATTGCTTTGGGTTACTTCAGACGGTGTTCAGGTTTTAGAGGCGGTCTCAATATTGACCAAAATGCCCAGTCCCATCAGAACCACTTCAAACCACCTTGCTGCTAAAATTCAGGCAGGATGGATGGATGGATGGATGGATGGAYGGAYGGATGGATGGATGGATGGATGGATGGATGTTTCTGCAGAAATGTGATGAAATTCCTAGCAAAAGTGCTACAGCTAACTGCTGATGTTGCTGTTTGTGCTTGTAATAAACCACAGATTTTCCTCTAAAGGTTTATTCAACAATTTTCACATGAATCAATGATCTGTGAARTTTTGGAGACTGGAGCTATTTGAGTCCACTTCAGTCTTTGTTACGGTCTGACTAGCCATGAGCTCATCAGTCCCATGAAACCCAAACATTAACTACAACAACTAAAGTCTTATTTTCATAATATCTATACAGATCTACCTTTCAATACTCAGAAACCTTCTACTGACCACTGCTACAGAAAGGCTTCAGCAGCCTCCAGAATCTGTCTGGATCAGTCAGAACCGCACCGACCCTACATGACCCAAAGTCAACCTGTGTCCTCGCTCTGAGCGAATGGTTGGCAGGAATCRATAGATGAGATCACATCTGAGGAACGCTGATTCACCAGCAGTCTGGGCCTGAAGATGTTGTGATTAAAGACTCAATTTCCCAGAGGTCATTGTGGTGTGATGACTTATTAAACTAACTGATGGAGGCAGCAGCACCTGTGGAGCAGAGACTTGTTTCCTCTCAGCTCTCAGTCGTGGTGTTTGTGTAAAACAGCAGCTTTTGACAGAGGCTGAATCCAACATTATCTTCACTCAGCAGAAACCTCTCCACATCTGAGCTGCTGGTTTCTGCTGCTGTGAAGAGAAACTCTCTCATTCTTTCACCAGCTGACTGACAGCTTCAAACAACTTCTGTCTTTATAGTCTGTAAATCATATCTATAATGCAGTTTTTCAGTGAGATGTAGTTTCTACAGTCATGTGATTTATATTCAGTTTAGCTGAGAGCCTTAAACTTCTTTATGGATTACTGCTGCTTTGAGCTTGTTTCTAGTGAAACTAAATTTGTCTTTATCTGACAACACAGAAAGAACATTTTATTTTAGTCTGTAAAGTCCAGGCTTAAAAACATGAAGAGAAACGGACATCTAAACGAATCCTTGGTTTTATTTGGATAAGTTGTTTGTTTCACTCTGAATATTTTAASACCAGGAACAGAATCTTCCCACGTTTCCTCTAAAACCCTAAGAAAATGTGATAAAATTTGTTCTTTTAATCCTGAAACCTTTATGTTTTCATTTCTCTAACAGGAAATTAGGAAAACAGTTTACTCTATCAGAACCTCCTTGAACAGGATAAAATAAGCTCCGTCTGTACAGATGCTCAGGCTCTTGTTCTTCTCCGCTTCTGAGTGTCTGACAATGATCTGACGTCTCGTCACTCTTGATAAAAACCAGAGGGACGGTCAGTCTTGGTCCCTCGTCATCTTTTGTTTAAGTTTAAATCTTACTTTTTCTCTGTAAAAACTAAAAGAGGCTGAGCAAAACACAGTTAAATAAATTACTTTATTTTGAAAATTTCAGTGAAAACATGCTTAAAAACTGTCAAATGATTTAACAAATATTTCCTTTTTCACAGAAATTTAATCACAAAAGAAGACAATTTTGGTTTTAAACCACTTTCTGAATCCTGATTAGTTCATTCTCAGTCTGCAAACTCGACAATAACATTTTTTTTCAAAATTATCACCTATAGGGTAACAGTTTTTGCTATTAGATGTCTAGGTTTCAAAATAAAATAATCTAAGGGAGATTACTGATGTTATTGTTAATAATGGTTGGTTGAATCCCAGATTAGAACACTAGTGATTGTAACAGTAAGACAGTAAACTGTGGGTATTTACAAAGGTAGAAAACAAGCAAAATAAGTTTTAATAAACCACTAGCAATGGTGGACATGGTTACATTAATATTTAATAATGGAACTAATTATTAATTTAGCTGATTAACATTTTCACTAGCTTTAAAAACTGTTAGCGGACCATTTAGCTTCTGCTAAATTAATTTTTGCCAACTGTAATTCAGCTAACAGCTAACTAACAAGCTAGCATCCCACAGATTTGTGTCTGTCACACCAGTCTTCAGCTTGAAGGAGACAACATGCGACACAGACTGAATGACAGTCRTCTTAGCGGTTAGTGATTAGCTGTTTTTGTCAGCTCCTGCTAATTTTTACTTAGCTTCCTCTAATTTTTTGTACATTTACATCTTTGGACGTTTACCTGGATTATGACCCTCAACGATCTATCCAACCAGGATACTCAAAGCACTTCACACTACAATCTGTGCCCTCATTTACTCATCCACACAGCACTCTATTAGATCACTCTACAAAGCTAACTTGTACAAATCAATCTATAGAGACTAATCAGTGCTTTAAATCACATTCATACACTGATGGGACACACATCAGAGGCAGTGGGAGTTCAGTGTCTTGTCTAGGGACACTTTAACGTGTGACAGAATAGTGGGGAATCGAACTCCCAACTCTCGCATTAGAGGAGCAACCCCMCTAACCACTCTGCCACAGCCGCCCCAATTGGTGATACTTATTGAAGATGATGAATTATCTGTGCAGTACAATGAAAGTATGTAATGAGGATAACGACGACAGCAGACGAGTCACAGCTCTTTTCTATTAATATTTTAGTGTTAAAACTCRCCACAATGAAAGCCATGAAAACTGCAGAGCGTTAGCAATTTTGTGAGTTTCTTTGAACAATTATTAGTTCTAAGGAAAAAAATTCAAGTTACTGAGGCAGTAAACTCTGAACCACGACCTAACGAAGGAGCTGACTGTTATTTCTGAACTACAGCCATGTTTGATGTGGAGCCCAGTTGTCGTCTTACCGGTTTAGCTTCTGCTAATTATTAATTTTTTAACATGTTTAGCATTAGCAAAGCCATATTTTTAGTTAGCAGGTGATAATTCATTTAAAGCTAATACTTAGGTTAACTGTTTCCACCACTGACCTACAGCTTTCCAATCCTGAAAACCTGCTTTTTGTTACAGTATCATGATCAAATGAATACTGTGGTTTAAAAAAGGGTTTCTTTAATTTTTTCAGTGACTTTAATGTGACTGTCGTGTTTTCAGTCCTGATCACCAAACAGAGCCGGTGTTTGCCAGCTGTTAGCTGATTGGTGCTCCTGTTGTCACCAGCTTGTAGTACGCGCCCTTCAGAGCCATGAGCTGCTCGTGCGTTCCCTTCTCGATCACGAAGCCCCGCGACATGACAGCGATGATGTCAGAGTTCTGGATGGTCGAGAGGCGATGGGCGATGACAATGCATGTCCGACCCTCTCTGGCTTTGTCCAGAGCTGCTTGCACTGTCTGTAAACACACACAGAGAGATATGTTTGAAATAACACACACACTGCTTGCTGGATCCATTTTCATTYCTCCCACAGAACAGACAAAAGCGTCCCAATTATAGCAATTTGACAATCATGCGTTGATTACTATCATTAGATGTTCCAGTGTTCAGGACTCTGCTGCTCGGTGGGCTTCAGTCATCGGTGCTAAAAAAAAAAAGACTAAATCTTCATCTGAAGGACATCCCACTATAGGCTCGGTGTGATGAACCAGCAGCTCGTGTTAATAATAGAGATGATGAATGCTAACGAGGATAACGATGATGATAATTAACCGCCTGGAGAGCACCGAGCAGCTGCACCACCCCGGGATGAGAAGAGAAGCTTGTCTGAAGCGGACCTTCTCGCTCTCGGTGTCCAGGGCGGAGGTGGCCTCGTCGAGGAGCAGGATCTTGGGGTCACGGATGATGGCTCTGGCGATGGCGATGCGCTGCTTCTGACCACGGGACAGCTGAGAACCCTGGGAGCCAACGTTGGTGTCGTATTTCTGAAGGAGCACAGAATAAATTCAGTGTTCACAGTGAAGATTAAGCAGCTAAGCTTTTTCTCCTTAACATCTTTTTGGGGGCTTGTCATTAATGTGTAGGAGCAGAGGAATGTACTGCGGAGCTAATCACAAGTTTAAGCTAACCGCTAATGCTAATCTTTGAAAATGCAATAATTCAGCCATTTTTTAGACATAAAAAGCTGAAACTGGTATAGTATTTGCTGAAAGCAATTGTTAACAAATTTTGAATGTTAAATAAAAATTCAAGATGACCACCAGAACTAATTTTAGACAACTATAATATGCTCATTTTTAGTCATATTGGGCTGAAATTTGGTGTGGTGGTAGTTAAGGACGATTTCCTAAATATACTGAACCCAGATCAAAAGTCCAGGATGGCCGTCTTCGGTAAAATGAAGAAATCACTGTAACCCAATCATTTTTAGACATAGTGAGGTAAATTTGGTGTGGTGGTACTAAATCCAAATCAAAAATCCAAGATGGTCACTATWACTAAAAAGAAGAAAGCTCTTCAGCTTAGACATTTAGTGGGAGCTGACTGTGAACTTCAACATGTAAACGTAAAATCCAAAATTTAAAATGGACGCCACATATTCTAGTTTGTCATTAATGTTATAAATGATCCATTTAAGCAAACCGTGATACCCAGCAGATAAGGGGGAGCCCTTGATGAAAACAGGTATTTACATGGACCAACACCTGATCATCTAGCAGAGTTCAACTATCTGCTTTATTTAACCCAGTTCAACATGAATCGACTTCCTCTTAGTAAAATCTACATCAGTTCAGGAACTTGAATGTCTAATGAGGAAACTTGGTAAATATACAGTAGCCGCAGATCAATCATTTTTGCTTTATTACTTTACAACCTTTGCTTGTTTTCTGTAGGCTAACTTTAATAAGTGGYTCTGCGTCTGCCGCTGAGTACATCTAACACCAAATGTCCACGATACCTCGGGGAGCGACATGACGAAGTCGTGAAGCTGGGCCTTCTTGGCGGCAGAGATGACCTCGTTCATGCTGATTTCCCGTGAGTTGTCGCCGTACTTGATGTTCTCAGCGATGCTGCAGTCGAACAACACGGGCTCCTGGGAGACAATGCCGATCTTGGAGCGAAGGTAGGGGACGTTGACGCGAGTCGACTCGTGGCCATCAATCAGCTGCGGGAGGAAAAAAATGGGTTTGACCATTAGTAGAAGGTGAGCTCATAATCACAGATGGGAAATACAATTCACTTAATGAGCTATCATACCACTATCTCCACCGTAATCTCTCTCCTGACTGCAGAGGTGATTCTGCTCTTTTTTAACCTCAGACAGGCAATCAGGCCAATCCATTTCCAACCCATTTCCATCCTAATTAAGACCATTTGAATCTTGGCAGGGATCTTTCTCTGGCACAAAGGCGAACCTGTGTTCCAGGTGGAGTGCCACTTTTTGAAATTTGAGGACGTAGTCAGCATAAACGCCTGACTGATAAATGAAGTGACGTGAAATATTTCCATCACCACATCCACTAAATGTCTCGCAATTATTCTCCGACTGCGGCCAATTAAAGGCTTTACAYCCAGCATGACAGAAAAGGGTTATTAGAGTGGAAGGTGACAACAGACTACACATATTCATTTAAAATCTGAATATCTCACATTTTAACAGACTGGTTCACAGAGGCTGGATTGAAGCCAAAACATTTAAAGGTTGAGTGAGCTAACAGGGAAGCTAGTTTGCTAATATACTGTAGAGTTTTGAAAGTTTTGCCATTTTAATGCTTAAAGTTTTGTGAAAATGTCTCTAGTTTGTTTGTTTGTTTGCCACAGCAAAGAGACGATATTTGTTTCAGAAAGTTAAGTTAGCAGACATGATAAAACACTGCTAACAGAAGTTTTAATGCAAAGCAGTACGCTAAGAATATAATTTGCAGACAGCTGTACTTCTAAATGKTAAACAGTGTCTTTAAAGAATAGTTTAGAGCTTCTGCAGTGTTTTAAACAATGTATCACTTTAAATGACATCACCTTGGGGGAATAAGTAAAGTAATAAATTAAGCAGAAAAATGAATCGACAAGTTAACGATTAGTCAGCCTGGGGCCTGGATCAGAGCGGATTGTTGCAGCAGTGGGTCATCAGTTCTGTGTTACAGTATCTGTGCAGAAATAACACGATATTCCTGACAGAAGTGCTTCTGTTGCACAGGAARTGCTATAGCTAGCTGCTGCTGCAATTTGCAAATAACCACAGAGTTCTAAATATCTACGTAAAGAGAAACTGAAGACCATGTGAATGTTTATGAATTAGTGTTTGCATGAATCACTTTTAAGAATTTAAGGCTGGAGTTGTTTTTAAACGGCAGCAAAATAAAACAAAATACAGATAAGTTTCCAGTYGACGACTGTTGATTCATGTAGTTCTTACTTACCGGTAGTTTTAAAACATATTTAGCTATTTTTGTTTAAAAATACAATTTTGGTCTGTGTTTTTATTACAGTTAGGGAAAACTCCCATTTGATTACATTGACTGAAACTTGCTGCAACCTGCCTACAGGGTCATTTGTTCTGTTTTGGCTTCARCTTCAGTGTTATGCTCCTACATTGATGTCTGACTCCCCTGTTAGTCAGTCTAGTCAGAAATGAACTGTTTCTACAAAGGGAAGTTGTTCAAGGACCTATCTATACCACCACTGYAAAAGATCTCAACAAGGATAACATTTATCAAATAAATATATTTGTTTGTTTTTCCAGTGTATATGGACCAATAGTTTAAAGGAGACCAATTATGGGTCCTAGAAATGTTTATGGTATGCCTGTGGGCCATCCAGACCATGTTCATTCAATTTAATGCACAAAATAATTCTCAGATAATAAAATTTCCACTTTTCTAGTTCTGCCTGCTCTGACTTCAGTTCAGAAGAGCTGTTTATGTTAATGAGCTCTGTTGGTAACGCCCTCAAAAAATTCTGTTGACATTAACTCCGCCCTCCAAAGCCAGCGTTTATGTTAGCATGGCTTATAATAGCAGAAGCGCTGTTGTACAACCGTATGAGACCCAGAGGCAGAGTCGTGGTCGCAGCTTCTTTCTTTTTTTCCTCTCCCTCCTCTGCTCTGAGCTCACTGTGCATGCTGTTACCAGAGCAGGGAGCAGCAGCAGTGAAAATACCTCAGAAACTCAAACAAATAGGCTTTAACAAGGCTTTAATAAGCTAAACAATAGAGGTACATGAGAAAATGTGTTCATAACAAACGAAAATAAATAAATAATTAAATTGTGTCCATGCTGGTCTCAAACCCTGGTCTCCTCCTCTCTGGTCCAGCACTACCCATTGCCCTATTGGAGGCTTGTTGTGAAATGAGCTGCGCATTGCACAACAACACCATGACGGCTCTTTATACTGAGGAGGTGGAGTCTCACCCAGGGGTTGCTAGATAAGGGGCTGAACGCAGGTTCCAGTGGGTTGTTGTACAGCTTGTGACATCACAAAATGACAGAAGTATAAAACTTGTCATTAATACACATTAAAAATACTGTACATTTACTTACAGTGAATATGCCCCTGGGTGCATTTTTTTGGTCCTAGGACTCTTTTTTTAAGAAGTACAAACCCAAAGTTGAGTAAAAAAACCTTTAAAAAGTGAATTTTGCATAATAGGTCCCCGTTAAGTTGCCTGTTTAGATCCCTTCAAACAATCTAGAAACATTACTGCTGCCATTCGCAAAAAAACAAAAACAAATATTTTAAGTAAAACCATTTTTAAAAATGG